CCACCTTAGATCTGACTATTTAGATTGTAATGAGTAGATGTCCCCAGAAGCCGCCACATTGGAGAGTTAAGACTAACTACTTAAGGATTAACATATATAGCAGACATTCTCAAAGATATTGTATCGTAGGTGATGTGATGTCGATACAAATAAGTGTAACTAGTTTAACTGTGGTAGAGTATCGTTCTCTGAGCTGGATGTTTTGGTTGTGGAGCTTTCATTGTTCTTCTGAATTACATCATCAGCACAAACTTCAAGTAGAAGTGAAATTGTTGTTCAGAAGTATAATGAAAGCTCCACAACCAAAACATCCAGCTCAGAGAACGAAACTCCACCACAATCATCGACCTGAGCTACAAATTTTCTCCACCATCTCAGCTAACTTAATACACGTTTTTGGAAAAAAGCCTTTTTTATAGATCTGTCTAATGTAACATAAGAAAAACGAAATAAGTGTGACATAGGGAATACAATGTAAAAGAATTAGAAAGTACATTCCTGTACTAAATTTGATTGATAAGCTTTAATAACATGAATCAATTTTTATTTACAATAATTGTGAATGAGTTTTTGTGAATACGTTTTGTAATGAAGTCTATAACAACTGAGTTAAATATTTATTCATCTAATCCGGCTTTCCACTAATATCGAATAAATTAATTTGAATTTTTTCAAACATTTATCAAATTAGTGTTTTACTTTTACGTTAAAACTGTTTAACTGTTTAGCGTGTTAAGTAACGTCTGAATGAACGAAATGCACTTTAAATTGTTATACATATTACATATTACGCAAATATATTTAAGTTGTATGTAAACTTTTGTGCCATATTTTCGGTTGTGTATTGATTATATATCTGTACGACTACACCCCCCTCCCGCTAACCCTGACAGACAGCATATCTGTGAATTGAATATAAATTTATTTTCATATTAACATTCATGTATTCATTTTGTGTTATAAACAACACACATCAAATAGACTGTTTTAATGATAACTATTATTATTGTGTCCAATAAAAACCGAACAATCAAGTAATCAATTGTTTGGTGTTATGTGGAAATGTTTGACCTCTACTATTCCGGATGTTTAAAAATGTAATAGGTAAACATTGATAATTTATATGAGAAGAGCAGTTAAACAGTCAAAATAAGTGTTTAATGAAAGTGAGACATGAAATAATAGGACTCATTTATTAATAAGAAACTGAAACAATGTTTGAAAATGCCTGACGTTATTTATTCGGATAGCTTGTAAACAATACGCTAAAATGGTATCGCGGTAGCTTCCTATGAAATACTAGATATTGACTTCGATTTCATTAACATACACCAATAGTTTCCGTAACAGGAATTCATAGCTTAGAACAGAAAATATGTTAAAGTTGTTCAGAGTGACAACAGGAATTTACTGTCTACGAAGAATTATCCATTTTGTATTCAAATAAATGGATAGATTGAGGATTTATCTAAACCAATATACTGAATCTGGTCTCACTGAATCTACTTGACTTCCTTAACAAAAATTTTCATTACCACTTGAGATAATTATTTTTAACCTGTCTTCTCTTTGTTGCTAAAAATTAATTCTGTGTTACTAACTTACATAAATGTAAATTAAGTATGCTTTGTCAGAAGTTTCCATCAACCGCTCGATACAAAGGAAATATATGTATGTCCGAGTAGTGAAATAACACATATATTTCCTAATGAAGAGAATATTTGACTACACATGAGTTTTTGATAGTTTTTAAGTTATTACCAGCTCATTATGGTTTTAGTTCATAAATGGTGATTTCGGATGACGTTTATTTTCATTATGAATATGTGTAATAAGTTTTTCTAGTTTAAAACAAAGCGAATTCGAAATTTAGTTTCTTTCAAGTTTACTGTTCACAATAAATGACTAGTCCATGAAATTATTTAAGGTATTTCTATTTTCTAGATTTATTTCTAGCAGTTCCCTTCACTATTCCAATTTCAGAAAATCACGGTCATCTAAAACGTGAATTTGAGATTCTTACAGCTAAAACTCGATTGTTCGGTAATCAGTAATTTTTAAACCATATAACCTAATTGTTGTAGTGTTTGTTAAACAGGCAAAATATTGTTATAACAAACTGATATTACTCCACGATAAACCTAAAACAAGAACGTTCCTAATGTTGAAAATTTGCTTTCCTCCCCTATGTTGCAAATAAGTTACCGTAGGTAATAAGTACAATCCAACTCATAAACTAAAAAACTTTAATTATGAAGATTTTTTAGCTGTTTTCTGAACGGTTAAACACTGAATGACAATTGGTCGGGGTTGTTTGAGGCTTGTCTCTTAGCTGTGCTTTTATCGTCGAAACCCTAGCTTTACTCAAAATAATTCGCTTACATTTACTGCATTTTGCATGAATTTTTGTGATAGATTATATGAACAGTTCAATCCCTCATGATGAACTGCTTATCTAGTCCTATGATTGAAATATTTCTAAGTCAGTGTACATGTGACCGAATTCAAACTGCGTTAGGCGAGGAGATGAAGTTTGAAAAATCAGTTTAAGTATGAACTAGAGATACAATACCATATTAAAGCAACGGCTAAAAATTTATAGGCTATTTGACTTTCTGCCACTAAATTGAAGGTTCAGAATTATACACCACCTACTTTAGTTTGAGTAGCTGATTAGCATTCCTACTCTTCACATTTGAAATGCAGCCCAAGGATAAGTAAATAAAATTGTACCCCATTAATCAGCTAATAAAAAGATTCAACGATTTGATATGAACATTATGTCCATTCAACTAACTTCACGTGCAATAAGAACTAAGTTCATTCTATCAATGGAACATCACCTGTGCAGGTTTAAAGACAAAACAACTTGGAAATGATTTCAAGCCATAGCTTGAAATGAATAGCATACTGCAATGCCGCATCTGCTAGGAGATTTCGCGTGTTGTGATTAATTTGCAGAGCCTTAAAGTGCTTTGACCAATTTATGTTACCAGATGTATACCATGACCACATGAGGTCTTACTTAAAATACAGCATCCTTGTAGCTTGTTAATTTCCCATCATAGTCAGTAACAATCTACTGCACACAAGAGCAGGTATTAGGTTAGTGTCAAATCTGTCTAATCTCTTCTATCGGGAGCATTTGAGATGTTTAATCTCCTCTTCTCATCCGATGATATCTTTACATAACTTATGAACTGAATATCGATGTACTCTACCTTGTAGTTCGTTTTGTTAAAAATCATTTCCGCCTCCGCTACAAAAGGATATAAAACTACGACCAAATAAATACAAAAATGAATTTCCACTTTTTCACAGAGCATTAGACGATGGGATTACCCTAGAAGGATAAGTAATATCAACCTCGTTGATGAAAAGTTTTGAAAATATACTGTACTTTCATTAAACTACAGTGTGAGGTTTAACGCAAACTAAGTAACTTAACGTACTTGATATCATTTTCGGTTATCTGATCATGAAGCGACCTTCGAAAATTTTTCCATGTAAGAAACACAAATGGACCACCTAATCAAATGCGTAATCTTGCGTAAGTGTTATTAGTCTTAAGTACTTACTGTGACAAGAACAACACGTCAGTTTTGAATGCATCTGAGAGCCAAAAAATTAAAAAAAGTTGCTATTACCAGTTACTATGCAGCAGTTAGAATAACTCAAAAATTGTTATATTCTTTCCCCATCTATAGTTTGTGAGATAACAACCAATTATTCATCTTGAAGTTTTCCTGTAGTTTGTCACTGTGCATAAAACTCCTATTAGATCATTAGTCCCTAAATGCCCGTATGTGGCAGAATGTAGGAAAAATTCTGCTCTTTCTCTAGAGAATTTTCCAGGGATCATGCACTATGTATTTATAGCCTCTACTACTATACTACTATTTCGCAACGTAGAACTTCTTACGTGAGTACGTAAGTTCAGGTTGCCATAGCGCATTAGCATAGAGACGCAACTGTCAGTTCAAATCCCGTAGTGGTAGCGACAGTAAAAGTATTAGCAACAATGGAGAAGATTAGCATTTGAAGATATGATTCGAGATGTTTGATTAAGTGAGATAACATTAGAGAGAGAAAGATAGAGGTGATAAGGAATTCAGAAGGTTAGAATTTGAAAGAACACGATGAATGAATGCATCTGTGCTATTGCTGACGATTTTGAGCCATTTCGTTCAAGGTCTCTAACCATCAGTGACTTTCTTCTCGCGGACCATAACCAGGTAGCCTATATCTACCAACATGACTCAGTCCAGTTGTCAGTGATTTCATGGATTTCTGCCATGTTTTGGTTTGGCCTCCCCTATTTATAGCCTCTACTAAAATATACACACCGACTGCTTTCAGATGACAAGGGGATTGTGGAAGCAATGGACGAAAAGGTCAACAGCCAGTAATCAAATCGGGTTGGTACATAGAAAAGATCTAATTATGTCTTTTGACAGTATATATTCGAGCTGCTCTAAATAAGCATACGAGATAACATGACCAAAGTAATAATAATAACAACTTATCATCAAGTTCGAAAAATTGCAGTAGTTGCTGGAATTAGATTTGTCATCATAGATTCGGAATAGTAAGTTTATGAATAGTCGTAAGACAAACAAAGAGAGTGAATCGACCATATTTTACACAATGAAAAATGTTATTCGTCTTTTCGATGAATACCTTATTAATACTCGCTCTTTGATGACCATCCATATTCATGTATGTCCTTTTGCTCAAATATATTTTAATTTAGAACAAGTATATGTAAAGCATGTTTTTCAGATATAAACTTCATGAATGATCAGTTATATATTTCGAAATTTCTTGTATTTCGCTATTAACAGTCGGTTTACATTTTTCATCTGCTGGAACATTTTAAAAATTTTGCTTGATGATTTAAATGTTCAGAGTGAAATAGTTGGATAACTAATAACTACGCGTATGTCACGGTTATATTATTACAAACTTATCTCATCAAAATATATTTGATATAAACTCACTGGGATTTCGACTAATTGAACGACATCTCCAGTCTTAATACGACAGTTCTATTGATAACTAGTCAAAGAAAATTATTCCTAACCTCGTCAGCCGTGTAATATTCAGTCACACCCGAATGTTCAGTCTTACGGAAACAGTAATTAGAAGCTTCAGTCTGAGGAATACCAAACCTGTAAAATTGTTTACAAGAGTAAAATCACATACTGTTGTGACACTTTATTAATTATATCGTCGTACACAGCCGGCTAAAAAAAATCACATTAATGAGTTCGTCTTATCTTACACATTCAAGCGTGAAAAGTTGTCCACTTCCTTTATACTCCACACCGAATTTCAAGAAATTCTGAGATGACATTGATGACATAACTTTTCACTAATACATTTCTAACAGAAGTTGTGAGTTGAGAAACCGAGGATATTCAAACTCGCTTACAAGGTTGCATGAACGTTTAGAGTTATTATTAACAAGTCAAACAACAGCCCTAAAAGTTACTAAACAACCATGAAGCTGAACCACAACATCCAGAACTAACTTTTAGTGGTTGAAATGCCAGACTGTACTATACAGTTAACAAACAAAAATAATCAGATGTAAAAACGAATTCGTAAAAAATAATCCCTGAGATTTCCAAACGGACAAGTTATTCCGTGAATCAATGGTTCAATATCCAGTGTCATTTTCATAAGCTTGTATAAGCCCATTGACTTATCTGTGCTCGATTTTTGCTCTTTCGGTACGGTTCCAGGTATTCCGTAGTCTCCAATGGATGGGGGACTAGCCTATAACCTGCACTAATTCTAGTCAGTTGACAATTATTCATGAATTTGTATGTCACGTGATTTGAATGAGTACGTTTGTTTCGGGGCAGTGAGGATTCGGAGTAACAGCAGCTATCACGTTACCAGGTCGGAGATCAGTTAGTTACAATGTGGAGAATAATGATAATAATAATAGGAAGGAGATTCCAAAAGTAAGTAAATAAATGGATGAATAAGTTGATTAATTGGTAGTGAAGGTTGCACAAGAGGACCAAAGTGCAGGCGAGGGAGAGGAAACAGAGATAGTAAGAAAGATAGATTAGGTTAGTGATCTGAAGATATGGCAATAATGACAACTAGAAAATCTCACGAAGTGCACCTGGCACGGATATTCCAAAGGGGAGATGATAATCCGTTAGTACGTGTTTATCAAGTCTCTTCTTAAAGCTGTCCACTGAGGGGACTCTGGTCACCTCGGCTGTGAGAGCATTCGAATTCATGACAACTATAAATGAGGAAAAATGTGCACGAACCTGAGTGTTAGCTCTTTCAAGTTGTTTGTTTCAAGTTGGTTGCGTTCCCAAAATATTTAGAACTGGTGTAGTTGTTAAACCAAGATCGCACACTGAGGAGACGTTAAGCAGCAGAATTCTGCTGAGTAAGTGGACTTTCATTGAGGGAGTAAATCGTTTGCGTCATGTGGGGCAGAATGAACTTAACGTGAGTTTTGACTGGTTTTGTTTTAAACCATTTTTCAATGACCATTTCTCAATGGATCCTTTCGAGTCCCATTCGAATTCTCTTCGCTTCTAATGGAACCTTGGATCTTTGCATTGTCTGAGTAGATCAGTGCCGCCGAGCTAACTTTGTCTATCAGATCGCTAATGGATATAAAGAAAAGAAGTGGATTTAAGACGGTCCCCTGTGAAACCTCCGATGCTGAAACTTACCAACTCACGTGCACTCTATTTACCTTGGTGAGAATCTTCCTGATATGAAAGTTGTTTCCGGTTCAGTGAAGCCCATTTCCGCAACCTCCGGAGTCCGGAATGCGTGGGGTATTGTGTCGATTCGCAGAAATCTTATGTGCACCAGTATTTTCGGTTCGATCAGGATACCCAACTGTCCCATGCTATGGGAGGATTGGATAAGCAGGACCTGTATTTACAAAACCCTTGTTGAGCTTCATGAGGATCTAGTTCTTATCCATGTACTCCATCATCTTATCGTTCACTATCCCTATCATTACCTTCGATACTATTGGTAGTAACATGACTGGTTTGTAACAGGCTGGGTCCTTCCTATCTCTCCTTTGAAGATTAGAGAGATGTAGATTGTTTTAATTCAGCTGGGAGTTGGTGTGACTCCAGTGAATGCCTGAACACGTCACATATCGGTGAACTGAGGACTTCTGCACATTGTTTCAAGACTATGGGGCGAATTTTGTCACAACCTGGTGACTTTTCTGGGCGTAAGGATTTCAGTTTCATTATTAGTACGTCAGAAGTAATAGGTAAATTCTCTAAGTCGTCAGCTGGAATTAGGTAAGCTTAGTACTCTGAAGATGTGGATGCCTGGTTTAACTGACCGATCTTATTTTTTGTCATGAATATAAACAGATGCTTGTGGTTTGCCTGTATTTTGACGGCTACCTTCATCTGTAAACGTCTCCTATCACTTCGAACCTTGGTAATACATCTGTTTCTTAATGCCAAGTTAGCACTAAGACCGTAATCCTTCACGGAGACTGACTTGTGCCAGGCTCTCCTTTTCCCGAAATTGTCCATTGTCCAGTTTCTTAGTCTAACTTCACCTGAAAGCTTGGGTCATCACGTTGCATACGTTTGAGAGCATGTTCAAATGCACTAATTTCAGATCAACCACCAGGTTTTATTGCATCATAAACGACAGGTACGGAGTTTGATATATGGTTAGTGATTCCAGTCCGTCGTCAATCATTCCTACAGTACTATTTATTGTAATTCAATTAAACAATATAGATAAAGCAAGGAAGTGGACCTAGATGACCCCTGAACAAAACTAGTAAACATCTAAACAACCTCTTTACGTACACTCTACTTACCTTGAGATGAAATTTAAGAAGTTTTCGTACTTTTTTACTAGAAGCGTTGACGAAGTAAAAAAACGAAAGTTCTCCAGAAGCTTATGCAGTAATATTTAATGACCTAGTTTGTGATAGAGTTTCATTATTTGAGCTGGAATATTCAGTTGTGGAGCTTTCATTGTTTTTTTGATCAACATCCTCAGCATCAAATTCAGGTAAAGAGAATTATTCATATATTTGAAGTATACGAATTTCTCTACTGGCAATGTTATTTCTTGAATGTAATGTGTGCTAGAAATTAGTGGGAGTAATTATAGCTGTCCACTAAACCGTCACTCAAGAACCAGGAAATACAAATACACAATAGGATTCTAGGCATCATCAGACAAATTCATAGTGTAAAAACCAGAAGTTTATGCCACTTAACATCTACACAGGTATCTGCAGGAAGTTTAAATATGGAATGCCCACCTTGAATCAGTTCAGTTAACGTTGTGGAAGTAAGATGGAGAGAAACTGAATTTTACTTTACCGTTTTAACTTTTTATTCCTATCACAATGCCCCTATATTTTCACATTTACGAATTCTATTTTGATTAAGCTATGGGTTACTTACGGAGGGAGTACCTATAAACGAGAGCACGGTCAAAGGTTGTGAATCTGTAACGTACAAAATTTTTACAGAAAGAGATCAACATTATTATGGATTATGTATGGAGTTCAAAACCGATCATTTTCAGAGCCGAAACTTCACGCAACTCAAATTAGGAGATTATTTTGTTGTACACTTATGGGCCTAATGAACGAAAGCATTGACGTCTCTCGGTAAACGACCGTCTAATATAATTATCTTTCGTTAATTAAAACTTGGTGAGTCGACGTTATACAATTCGCAATCGGTATCCGAGATTCCGTTTAGTGAGAAAATTATACAACTAAACATTTTGAATATAAAGTGTTACACAAGTATACTTAGTTACAAACGTCAGTTCGTCTCACTCCCACCTTTATATTATTGCTCACTAGTATCGATTGTTTTCCACATAAGATATAAAAACGTCGGAAGTTTTGTTAGGTTTCAGTTAAACGTCCCGTTTTGCCTTTTCTCTCTACGCTTTCACTACAAATGTTGCTCGTAATGCTCAAGATGGACGCGAGCAGATAGAGAGTACAACTTGAAAGAGCTAACACTCAGGTTCGTGCACATTTTTCCTCATTTATAGTTGTCATGAATTCGAATACTCTCACAGCCGAGGTGACCAGAGTCCCCTCAGTGGACAGCTTTAAGAAGAGACTTGATAAACACGTACTAACGGATTATCATCTCCCCTTTGGAATATCCGTGCCAGGTGCACTTCGTGAGATTTTCTAGTTGTCATTATTGCCATATCTTCAGATCACTAACCTAATCTATCTTTCTTACTATCTCTGTTTCCTCTCCCTCGCCTGCACTTTGGTCCTCTTGTGCAACCTTCACTACCAATTAATCAACTTATTCATCCATTTATTTACTTACTTTTGGAATCTCCTTCCTATTATTATTATCATTATTCTCCACATTGTAACTAACTGATCTCCGACCTGGTAACGTGATAGCTGCTGTTACTCCGAATCCTCACTGCCCCGAAACAAACGTACTCATTTAAACTAGAATCGAGCACAGATAAGTCAATCAGCTTATTCATGCTTTTAAAAATGGTATTGGTTATTGGATTTTGGATATTTCGGGATAAATACGCGGAATACTGACTTCAAGGTCACCGCAGGTTTGGTTTTTATTATTCGAGAATATTTTATCACGCTTGACTTATGTTCTTTTAAAATGCATCGTTCCTGAAGTATTATTATATATCCCGAGCTTTTTACGCACCCTTTCTGAATGTGTGTTAAATAAATGTGCTTTATCGTGAAGTTGTAACTAAGTTAATAATATGCAAGAATATATGATTCAGGCTTCACTAGTAAGTTCTGTTAATACTTTTTCCATAAATCAAGAGGTTCGAGAGAATTTTTTAACCACAAACCTGCCTATTTGCTGATTTTAATAAGGTCAGTCTTTCCGGATTTTTGGTTCCCATAATCGACTTGTGTTACACAGTCGTAAAATCTGTTGTAATTGACAGCAATTTATGGTGCTCTGATAATGTAATTATAAATGCGAGACCTCGTGACTATTCAATGAATCTGAACTCCTGTGTAATATTACTTCGTACTAACTATGATGATAGATAGCGGCTTTTTACTCTGGGACACAGATATTTTGAGTTGTTTGACTTTAAAAATTATAAGTTTTTCTGTCTGATTCTTGATTACGCAGCTAAACGCTGTGAAGCAATTATCCTGTGATCGCTGCTTATAAACAGAAGCCAAAATGATTTATCCCGACAAATGTTTGTTTATCGATTTGTATCCACCTTGAGATGAAATTTCTGTTATATCTGTCACAAGTATGATCGTTAACAATCAATACATATTTCAGTAAAACATCTACCTTGTAGAATAATGTCAGTCACGTCTACCTGAATTAAAGCTAAATTTTTAAATCTTTTCTTACATACTTTTTTTTACCCTCAATGGAGCATAGGCTACTGACCAGCATTCTCCAACCTACTCTTTCCTAGGCTTTCCTTTCTAGTTCTGTCCAATTTTTGTTCATCCTTCTCATGTATGTCTTCATTTCTTGGCGTAGTGTGTTCTCCGGTCTTCCTCTTCTTCTCTGAGCTCAAGGATTTCAGGTGAGCGCTTGTCTTGTGACCCAGTAGGGTAGGTCCCTCAATGTGTGTCCTATTCACTCCCAGCGCTTCCTGATTTCTTTTTCCGTCGAAATCTTGTTCTCTCCGATAGAAGTTTGTTTCTGATACTGTCTCACCAACGGATCCGAAGTATTTTGCTTAAAAAACTGTTAATATACTTTTGTATCTTCTGGATGATGGCTTTCATAGTTCTCCAAGTTTCCGCTCCATACAGTAGAACTGTCTTGATATTTCTACTAGTGTTTGTTGATAGTTGTTCTGAGTTCCAGATGTTATCCAGTTGTAAAAATTCTGCCTTTGCTTTGTCAATCCGCGCCTTCATATTTGCATCAGATCCATCGCGCTCATCAGTGATGCGTCTTAGATAGTTAAAGGGTTTTACATCTTCCAAAGCTTCTCCGACAATTGTCAGTCAGTCAGTTGCAACGTAGAACATAAGTTCAGGTTGCCATCAGCATAGAGACGCAACTGTCAGTTCAAATCCGATAGTAGAAGTATTAGCAATAATCGAGATTAGGGTTCGAAGATACGATTCAAGGTGTTTGATTAAGTGAGATAACATTAGAGAGAGAAAGATAGAGGTGATAAGGAATTCAGAAGGTTAGAATTTGAAAGAACACGATGAATGAATGCATCTGTGCTATTGCTAACGATTTTGAGCCATTTCGTTCAAGGTCTCTAACCATCAGTGACTTTCTTCTCGCGGACCATAACCAGGTAGTGTACATCTACTAAGATGACTCAGTCCACCTATCACTGACTCCATGGGTTTCTGCCATGTTTTAGTTTGGGGGCCCCTAGCTTTGTTTCAACCACCTTCTACACCACAAAACATAACTCGTCGGTGGTTGGGCATTCGTAACATATGTCCCAACCACCTCAACTGATGGAGTTTTAATAATTCATCAATTGATCTACCATCCCTACCTAGTACTCGTTTCCTAACTATGACGTTGCTTCCTGCGCTGTCCCAGGATATACAAGCAATGCTCCAAAGACATCTATAATCGAATACTAGTAACCTACGGATTTTCTCTACTCTTACCGGCCGTGTTTCGCATCCGTGTAGTAGGACGGAGCGAACTGCTGTGCAGTAAACTCGTTCTTTGGTTATAGAACTGATATCTCACCTGCGCCAGAGGTAACGCAAGTTGGCGAAAGCCGATCAAGACTTTCGTATCCGTGCTAATATTTCGTCACACTCCAGGCCTTCAGCACTGATGAAACTCCAAAGATAAGTGAGGCGGTCAACTAGATCAACTACTTCACTTCCTATCACTAGTTTAGGCGCCGATACATGCCAATCTGAAAGCAACATATTGCATTTCGAGGGTGAAAACCGCATCCCCAACATGCTTGCATTGTTGCTCAGGGTAGTCAGAAGACTGCATTTTGTCAGCGTCATCACCGAATAGAACTATGTCATCGGCATATTCTAGGTCAGTAAGCGATTTTCCCTGTAGAAGGTCGAGCCCTGAAAAGTCTGACGAGCTTAATGTTAACTCTAAGAGAATGTCTACGACAAAGTTAAACAAGAATGGAGAGAGTGGACAGCCCAGACGGACACCACTTGATGTAGAGAATTCCGATGACAGTTCGCCATATGCTCTCACTCGACCAGTGGTGCTCGAATAGAGAGCTTGTATAAGGTTAATGTACTTCTTTGGTACACGTTTCGATGACAGACACTGCTACAGAACCTCACGATCCACAGAGACAAATGCCGCATCAGGGGTAAGCCTATCAGGACCTGCTGCTCTCCCTCGCTTCAGAATTCCTATAGCTTTCTCAACTTCATGTAGACTGGGAGGACTTAAATCGATTGGCCATTCAGGATGACTGGGGATCGTGGGCAACCGAAGTGTGGCTGAAGACTAGTTGAACTGATCCCTAAAGTGTTCTGCCCATCGGTCCAATCTCCTGGATTGAGAATAAGTGATACAGCCAACCTCACTCACATTCGGGTTCCTAATACCGGTTATCTTGATAAGTCGGAAAAGTTGTCTAGTGTTGCCTATCTCCGCTGCCTTTTCCATCGTTTTTCCTTTCGCCACCCACCACTGTTCACTGTCGTTACGTAGGCTTTTTATCAGCCTCCGCTTAAGCTGACTTCGTTCTTCATCATGTTCAGAGCCAAGTGGGATGAGTTTCCGAGCGTCTATCAGTTCGATGAATGCCATTGAGATCCACGGCTTCTTCCTAGCCTCATGATTTACCTTACTAACAGGTATCACTGCTTTTTCCACAGCTTTATGGGTATCGTTGGGTGGGTGGTATCCAGGGTTGGTCTCACTTACGTGGCTCACTAACTGTTTTTCTAGTTGCTCCTAAAATATATTCTTAACTACGCCATCATTAAATAGAACGGTAAAAGGTTTCCTTGAGGTGTCTTTCTTACGTCCAGTAAGCAGCAAACAAATACGCGCTCGCAATAGAGCACGATATAAATCTAAACATGTGCTCCAAAATAAACGGCAGTTTTCGTTAGAGCCTTTCCACCAATGGCTGAGAGCCTATTGTAGGGTCCGATTTGAGGGTCGCACAGACAAGAGATGTTTTTCTCTCTGTTTACCGTTAGCATTTGCCATAAATAGGCAATTGTCTGAGCATACTTGCAGCAGACGTTCGCCATTATCTGTTTTCTGAGCCGCGACACCATAGCAACCACCCAGGTGTCTTTCCTTTTATTCACTCAACTTACTTGAGCATTGGAGACACCAGCCATTATTAATACATCAGAACGCTTAACATTGTGAAGGAGGTCCGAAAGCTTTCTGTAAAACTCGACTATTACCTTGTCTGAGATGCAGTTAGTAGGAACATGGCAGATACGACGAAGAGGCGACGGCGAGTTTCCCTATCTTTACGAGTCCTTACTGTCCTGTTCAGTCGGACAGCGCACGAGCGACTATCTACTGGGATCCAGTCTAGGTGCACTAGTTCTGCCGTGAGACTCAATGCTATACCTACGCAAGCGAGACCCCGGGAAGCAGCATCAGGGCTTACTGATAAGCGAAGAGTAAATCGAGTTGGTTGTTTATTTTGACAAGCTGAAATTAAAATAATGATTTTACTAGGATCCTGTATGCGCGTTTCCGAGACGCCGCATACATCGATGGCGCGAGATTCTAGAGTCCTAGCTAAGGAAGCCTGTTGCCCTATTTGACACAATGTCCGTACATTAAAAGCTCCAACATGTAGTTTAGAACGGGGCTTCAAAAGACCAGGAATAACGTTCCGAGAACTCGAATCGTTTGAAGCAGAGGTGCGGGGAGATAAAGGAGTGTGAGTAGACTTAGTCGTGGAGATAAGAGAGATGTTAGGAACTGTAGGAAGGATTTGTTTCTGACCGATTTGCTCTCACGTGCTGCTACGGGTATGAGGGCGTATGTCACTTCCCGGCTGCCCACACCGTGGAAGGGTGTTTCTTGAGGAACCTGAAAAGGACGTTAGATTAGTGTTGGTCTTGGAGACCTGGGAGCGTGACCGCAGGGCCCAAGGGACAACTGCTTCAAGCCGGTCACACCTGGCCTTTTTATAGGAATTTTTCAAAGTATTAGTTCCGCTCTTGTTTAAACGCCCTTGAAGCCGGAGACGGAAATCCGTGAGGTAGGGTGAGGTGTGACATTTTTAGGATCGACCTTTTCTAACCCCTTCCTTCTTTGTGAGAAGGCAGCGTCGCTGCAGATGCTGGTTGTCCGAGGGAAACACCTTATTACTGTCACACTTCTCTACAGTCAGCAGTACGACTTAGACCTTGAGTTGCTTCTTCTAGTCCCGTCGTTCTCCAGTTGTTCTACCTGACATGGTAGAACCTACAGGAACATATTTTCGAGCCAATATAGCTCGGTTGGGTCATCAGGACAGGCAAGTACGACCACCGTGTCAAGGTAGCAGCTACGGTCGGGCAAAGTTGTTGTGGTATCGAGAAGCCAGATCATCTGCGATGTTTATACTGTTCAGTTGGATCCCAGGTGTCCACCTTTTCCGTAGCTTCTACCCAGATTTTGACGTCTTCACAGTCCAGTTGATCACCAGGAGAAAGGCTGAGAGCAAGCAAGCTTGTCTGACACCGGTCTCCACCTCGAACGAGTCTGTCAGCTGTCTTCCGTTCACGATTACGCAGTTTAATCCATTATAGGAATTTCGTATGATTTTGACTATCTTCTCAGACGCGCCGTAGTGCCGAAGAAGCCTCCATAGTGTTGTCCTGTCCACATAATAAAATGCTTTCTCTTAGTCAATGAAGTTGATGTAGAGTGGTGAGTTCCATCCAATTGATTGTTCTACAATGATCCGTATTGTTGCGATTTGGTTGGTAGACGATCGATCATTACGAAATCCAGCTTTTTGATCTCGTAGTTGGGCGTCTTCGGAGTAATTCATTCTGTTTAACAATACCCTGTTGAAGACTTTACCTGGTTTTGAAAGAAGAGTGATGCCTCTGTAGTTCTCACACTTGCTGAGATCGCCTTTCTTTGGTATTTTGATCAGTTATCCTTCTTTCTAGTCTGATGGTACTTGTTCTTCATCCCAAATCTTGTTGAAAAGTATGTGAAGTATTTTTGCAGTTGATCCCACGTCTACTTTCATTGCCTCTGGTGGAATGTTGTCTGGTCCTGCTGCTTTGCCACTCTTGATTTGTCTGCTGGCCATGCTGATCTCTTTAATTGTAGGTGCGCCAACATCGATCCGTCCAAGAGTTCTTTAAAGTGTTTTACCCACCTGTTTCTCTGTTCTTCAGTGTTACTGATTACTTTGCTTTCCTTGCTTTTCAATGATCGTTCTGGTTTAGGATAGTTTTCCGAGAGCTTCTTTCTTGTATTGTACAGTTGTCCCAAGTTTCCTTCTCTTGCAGCCTTTTCTGCCGTCATTTCTAGATCTTCCACATATTTACGTTTGTCGGCTCCGATTCTCCTCTTCGCTTGCTTGCTTGCTTGCTTCCATGTATTCAGCATGTGCCTTGGCTTTCTCTGCTCTTGTTCGGCTGATGTCGAATGCTGCCTCCTTTCTTGAAACTTACCGAGAATACCAACAGAGATCCATACTTCTTGTGTCCCAGAACCCACTGACATGTTGAAGTGATTGCCTTCTTGATCCCTTTCCAATTGTTCTTTCCCATCGAGTAGATCGTGAAAAACCTGGAACATATTTCTGAGGGCTTTCGTGAATTCTTTGAGTTTGTCAGTATCCCGAAAAAGTGCCGTATTAAAGTTTTGTGACATTGTCCGGTGCTTCTTGAATTTAAATTTCGTTTTGGCGACTAACAAGTGGTGGTCTGAGGCTATATCAGCTCCTCTCTTGGTTTTCACGTCCTCCATGGTCTTTCTGAAATTTATTGATGGAGATATGGTCGTTTCGGTCCTGTGTAGTGTGGTACGGTGAAATCTATGTGACTCTGTGTATGGGTTTATGTGGACGTTTGGTGCCCTCTATAACCAATTTGTTGAAGTCACATAGGTTTGCAAATCTCTCACCGTTTTCGTTCTTTTCTCCCAGTCCATGTTGTCCCACGATGTCTTCCTATCCGATGTTGTCCATGCCGACCTTGGTATTAAGGTCTTTCGTCAGAATGGTCAAATCCTTTGAGGAGCATCTCTAGACGATTGACTGCAGCCTTTCGTAGAATTGATCTTTAACGTTGTCCTTGTAATCATTGGTAGGTGCATAGCATTGGATGAAGTTCATTGTAATGTCCTCTTTCTTTGTTTTGAAGGATGCTTTGATGATCCTAGGTCCATGAGATTCCCATGCTATCAGTGCTGTTTGTGCTTGTATGAATAGCATCAGTGCGACTCCTTGTGTGTGTGAAGCATTTTCTTCTTCAGGGCCGAAGCACAACAGCAGCCCCCTGAGGCTAGTTTCAGTTGTCCAACTGATTCCAAGTACCTCCAAGTTGTATCTTTTCATTTCTGCAGCAACCTGGAATAATCTTCTGGTCTCTCAAAATGTTCGGACGTTTTATGGTATAAATCCTTATCTAAAGTCAGCCTTGGTTTTCTCAAATCCATTATCAGTCATGAAAATGTAGTATATGTCACCGCTGTCCATAGCTCTAAGTGGCGACGCTTCATCTGAGACTTTCAAAGGAAAATTACTGGAAAACGAAATAAGGAATTTAAAATGCTGATATTAATAAAAACTCAACCTAAACTTAAAAGATATATAATCATATAGTTCAGGGGGAACTATGATAGTATTTCCCAGTACGACGTTTGTATCTTTGTTTCACTTTACTTATGGTCCGCTAGTCTTTTGTAATGTACTCGAATACAACCGTATATTTATTCATATCATATTGAAGACGGTAGATTTGTTTGCTTAAATGGGAATCAACTTGCTGAAAATGTAACTGTTAATAATTTTATTCAAAGCACCTTGTGTCTTGCACTACACTCATTTTCACAATATTTTTTATCATCATGTATAAAGTACTAACAGATTAATCTTTAGCTTGAGACGTATATTCATTATAGTTTACAAACTGGGATTTATCAAAATCCTACATAGTTTTCCTTAGTTAGGTTGTAAAAACTCCTGACGTTTTTCTCTTTGTATTTATTCATATTTTCTGCATTAAACAAACTATAGTGTTTACCAAGCTCAACCGATTTATTTCGTTTGTATTGTTTATCCATCTAGGGAATATGTTCTCATGTTTCTCTTTGTCTCGGATCGCCGATGCTAGATATTTAAGAAACTTATACAGATCTAGTGTATCATTGGAGCAGTTGTCAACATTTAAACCAAAAACTGCTCTAATATTAGCTAAATTATCCAAATATGATTGTGCAAAGTCAATGGGAACTCATTTGAATGATGACCAACTAAAAAAATCTGTATGCTGTTTATTGCCACTATAATTACGATGTAATCAATTTAGATGGAAAGAAAAGGTTTTGATCCACATCTACTAATGACTCGGCATGAAACACATTATGCGAAATTATATGAATTGAAAAATGCTTTAAGGTGAGGTGACATTTACTAACATTCCTTAAACGTTTTTGTTTCGTTTTGAGAGTTTGTAGAACATTAGCTTTTACATTCATTCATTAGAATACTTGTGAGCGTGATGAGAAACTACCTGGCAATAAAAACTTGTAGCTCAGGTGGATGATTGTGGTGGTGTTTCGTTCTCTGAGCTGGTTGTTTTTGTTATGCAGCTTTCATTGTTCTTTTGAACAACATCATCAGCACAAACTTCAGATAGAAGTGAAGCATTCCAATTTCTCCACGTTTGACCTGTAACTCCACAAACCTAACATCCCACTACGTCCTACTTTATCCCTCCCCGGAACACCGACCTACGACTTATGAAGAGAAATTTCAAGGATATTAAAACATATGGTGGGTGAATCCAACTACTGCATTAAGTCTGCCACACAATCCTTGGATAAGCTCAAGGGGATTCAAATCGGCAACGACGAAACGATAATATCCTTCGACGTAACAGCCTTATTTACCTCAATAGAGCCAAGCTTAGCTAAAGAAACCCTTTCTCTGCTCCTCATCAACGACACAAATCTACTCAAATATACAAAGCTTCAAGTCAAAGTCTGCTTGAACTAATCGATCTATGCTTAACAACGTATTTTCAGTTCAACAACATAGTCTATGAACAAATAAAAGGAACACCAATGGGATCAGCAATATCAGGACTCATCGTGGAAGCTGTAATGCAAAGATTGGAAGCATCGATTTAGCCAGTGATCAAGCCAAAAATGTGGGTTCGCTATGTAGACGACACATTCGTTATTATCAAAAGGAATGAGCTGGCGAACATCTGCAATCAGACCAACAACGTCTTTGATGACATCAAATTTACGATGGAAAAGGAATCAAACAACAACATATCATTCCTGGATGTACTAATCACCAGAACTAACACAGGAAAACTGGAAACTCGAGTATTTCGGAAGCCAACCCACACAGACGTAATTCTCAACTACGGTAGCAACAATCCAAGAACCCACAAAATCAACTGCATACAAACGTTTTTCAAGAGAGCGAAGACTCACTGAGGCACACATGAGGCACTAAAAAACGAGGAAAAACATCTCATGACTGTCTTCAAAAAAAACGGCTATCCACGCAACTTCATCAAAAAACATCAACCGAAACCGTCAACAGAACTGAAATCAAATATAGGAACCAATAAACGGATCATCCTACCATACATAAAAGACATATCGGAACACACAGCACGACTAATGAAACCGTTTGTAATAGGTGTGGCACACAAACCAACAGAATCACTTCAATCAATCCTAAGTAGCCCAAAGGACAAAATGACAAAGGAAGAAAAGCCAAATATCATCTACAAAATAAATTGCTCAGACTGTGAAAAACACTACATAGGACGAAGTGGACGGCCTCTCCAGCTTCGTTTACGTAAACACCAATTAGCAGTCAAACGCCACGATAACTCTTCGCTTATATCAATACATACCGACAATTATGGACATACATTCGATTGGGACAATGTGGAAATACTGGATAGGGGGAGGACAAAGAACACTATAGAATTTTTAGAAGCTTGTCACTCAGGTCAATCAGCAATCAATAAACACATCGACATTGACGCAATTTATCAACCAATCAGGAAAATCATAGGGGACATAGTATCAAGAAACAGATCAAAAAGACGATACAGACCAAACATACGTGCAAACAACCACAGATTTAAGGTCAACCGCAACCAATCAAGATCGAGGTTAGCAGAACAAGCTACAGGTCAAACGTGGAAAAATTGGAATGCTTCACTTCTATCTGAAGTTTGTGCTGATGATGTTGTTCAAAAGAACAATGAAAGCTGCATAACAAAAACAACCAGCTCAGAGAACGAAACACCACCACAACAACCTGGCAACTCAGATCGTAGTAGTTTGTAGTGACTAGGACTTCTCTGGAAGTCCGTAGGTGTAGTTGGGCGTTTTTGCTTCTTACCGGTGGCAGTACCAGGAGGTTTGAGAGCTTGCGTGACCCTCTACATTGTTACGTTCCAAAAATGTGTTCAGTAACAGTTTCCTAATATCACCTTTCTCCCTTGACTTTGCCCGACCGTAGCTGCTACCTTGACACGGTGGTCGTACTTGCCTGTCCTGATGACCCAACCGAGCTATATTGGCTCGAAAATATGTTCCTGTAGGTTCTACCATGTCAGGTAGAACAACTGGAGAACGACGGGACTAGAAGAAGCAACTCAAGGTCTAAGTCGTACTGCTGACTGTAGAGAAGTGTGACAGTAATAAGGTGTTTCCCTCGGACAACCAGCATCTGCAGCGATGCTGCCTTCTCACAAAGAAGGAAGGGGTTAGAAAAGGTCGACCCTAAAAATGTCACACCTCACCCTACCTCACGGATTTCCGTCTCCGGCTTCAAGGGCGTTTAAACAAGAGCGGAACTAATACTTTGAAAAATTCCTATAAAAAGGCCAGGTGTGACCGGCTTGAAGCAGTTGTCCCTTGGGCTCTGCGGTCACGCTCCCAGGTCTCCAAGACCAACACTAATCTAACGTCCTTTTCAGGTTCTTCAAGAAACACCCTTCCACGGTGTGGGCAGCCGGGAAGTAACATACGCCCTCATACCCGTAGCAGCACGTGAGAGCAAATCGGTCAGAAACAAATCCTTCCTACAGCTCCTAACATCTCTCTTATCTCCACGACTAAGTCTACTCACACTCCTTTATCTTCCCGCACCTCTGCTTCGAACGATTCGAGTTCTCGGAACGTTATTCCTGGTCTTTTGAAGCCCCGTTCTAAACTACATGTTGGAGCTTTTAATGTACGGACATTGTGTCAAATAGGGCAACAGGCTTCCTTAGCTAGGACTCTAGAATCTCGCGCCATCGATGTATGCGGCGTCTCGGAAACGCGCATACAGGATCCTAGTAAAATCATTATTTTAATTTCAGCTTGTCAAAATAAACAACCAACTTGATTTACTCTTCGCTTATCAGTAAGCCCTGATGCTGCTTCCCGGGGTCTCGCTTGCGTAGGCATAGCGTTGAGTCCTAGGGCAGAATTATCTCTCCTGGACTGGATCCCAGTAGATAGTCGCTCGTGCGCTGTCCGACTGAACAGGACAGTAAGGACTCGGAAGGATAGGGACACTCGCCGTCGCCTCTTTGTCATATCTGCCTATGCCCCCAATGACTGCAGTGCAGACGATGTGAAAGATGAGTTTTACAGAAAGCCTTCGCACCTCCTCCAAAAAGCTAGGCGCTCTGATATAGTAATAATGGCTGGTGACTTTAATGCTCAAGTAGGTAGACTAGGTGCAAAGGAAAGACATCTTGGTGGATGTTGTGGTGTTGTGGCGTCTCAACGTTGGACTCAACTAGATCACATCGCCATCAGCCACTGATGGAGGGGTTCGATAGAAGACTGTCGCTCGTTCTGGGGCACATGTTTGGATTCAGATCATGCTCTAGTGCGAGCTCGTATCTGCTTAAGGCTTACTGGGCGTAGGAAAGACACCGTAAGAAAGCCTCTTAGGGTTTTACTTAATGATAATCAAACCAAGAAAATATTTCAGGAGCAACTAGAAAGAGAGTTAAGCAACCATGCAAGTGATTCCCATCCAGAAGCAGGTTGGTATGATATCAAAAAGGCTGTGGAAACAGCAGTGATATCTGCTAGGAAGGTAAACCGTGAGGCTAGGATGAAGCCGTGGATATCAGTCGCATCCACGGAACTGATGGATGCTCGAAAACGCATCCCACCTGACTCTGAGCATGATGAAGAGCGTAGTCAGCTTAGGCGCAGACTTATAAAAAGTCTACGTAACGACCGCTAACTGTGGTGGGTGGCGAAAGCTAAAGCGATGGAAAAGGCAGCGGCGATAGGCAACACTAGACAACTTTTCCGCTTTATTAAAGAAACTGGTATTAAGAACCCGAATGTGAGTGAGACTATCTCGTAAAAGGATGGTCTTATTATCCATTCTCAATCCAGGAGACTGGATCGATGGGCGGAACACTTTAGGGATCAGTTCAACTGGCCACGAGCCACTCTTCGGTTACCCACGATCTCCAGTCATCCTGAATGGGAAATCGAACTAAGTCCCCCTAGTCTTAATGACGTTGAGAAAGCGTTAGGAAATCTGAAACGAGGACGAGCTGCAGGTCCTGATAGACTGACCCCTGAGATATTTAAGGATGATTGTCCAGTTTTAGCAGCTAGGTTGACTGAGATCTTAGATAGAATCTGGGAACTGGACGCAATCCCATCCGACTGGTCTCAATCCTTGATTGTCTCAATCTATAAGAAAGGACAAAAGTCTTCTTGTGACAATCACAGGGGAATAAGTCTAAGTAATATAGTATCTAAAATACTGGCCTCAATAATACTTCGACGCTTAACAAAAGCTCGTGAAGAGCAGACTCGAGAAAACCTATCTGGTTTTCGACCTGGACTTGGCTGTATAGACCACATTTTCACACTACGACAGGTCCTGGAACATAGACACACATTTAGGCGTCCTACAATAGTTGTTTTCCCGGACCTTAAGGCGGCATTTGACTCTGTTGATCGTAAGGTTCTGTGGCAGTGTCTGTCATTGAAAGGTGTACCAAAGAAGTACATTAACCTTAAACAAGCTCTTTACTCGAACACCACTGGTCGAGTGAGAGCTTATGGCGAACTGTCACCGGGATTCTCTACTTCAAGTGGTGTCCGTCAGGGATGTCCACTTCCTCCATTCTTGTTTAATTTTATCATAGACATGCTCCTAGACATAACATTATCCTCGTCTGAATTTTCAGGAGTAGACGTTTTACCAGGTGGCTCGCTTATTGACTTAGAATATGCCGATGACATTGTCCTACTTGGTGAAGACGCTGACAGAATGCAGAGTCTTCTGACTACCCTGAGCAACAATGCAAGCATGTTGGGGATGCGGTTTTCCCCCTTGAAATGCAAAATGTTGCTTCAAGATTGGGTTTCATCGGCACCTGAACTAGTGATAGG